TAACCACCGTATTTTTTAAGGCTTTTTTAACCGACCATTTAACCGATCCGCGGTCCGAATTGAAGGTTTTTTTGGGTTAAAATTGGACCGTGAACACCCCTACTTAGACCACTTTTATTGGTGACCCTCAAGAGTGGGTCACCAATTTAAAACATTAAAAAAAATAAAAAAATAAAAAGAAAAGGGTCGTGGTTGTCCAACCGAGGTCACATTGTGACCCAAGGTTGCAACCTTGGTTGGTGTTAAAATGGGATACATGTCCCCTTTAGATTGGCTAAAAATAATTTTTATGTATAAAGTAAAAGTAAAAATAAAAAATAAATACTACAATTTATATTTTTTTATTATCTACAAATAGAGACCACACTTGATATATTTTGAAACACAATTGTATTTTTCAGATAAACTAAAATAAAATAAATATTTGGGTTGAGTTGGGTTTGTGATAAAAATAAATTTAGTTGTAAGGTTAAATTGTGTAAGTGGTGGAGAGAAAAATAATTTTTTTATTGTTAGGTTGGGTTAGGTTGGGTTGGGGATAAGGATAATCTTAGCTCCAATGATTTATCAATTGGAGGCGCCATAGTGAGAAAACATATTTCCTTGGTCGATTAAATGGTGTTTCTTTTTTACCTCTTCTTTGCTTGGTTCGTCTCTCTTAGTTTCTGCCCAAAAAAACCTAGCGCGATTTGTTTGTGCCTTTGCCGCTCAACAAAAAATTTCAGTGCTCAAAATTAATGTACTGTAAATTATGTTACAAAAATATGAAAAAAAAAATTATATAAAAAGTGTTAAAATGTTACCTTATATCGATGTGTTGCAAAAGTGTTACATAAATGTCTACAAATTTAAAATATTAAAAGTGTTACAATAATGTGATACATATACTAATAATTTGTAAAGTGTTACCATGACTATGTTACCTAAACTCATTTATGTTGTAGTGTCCGCCGCCGCTCCTTGTCCGACGCCGACGCCTCCATCATCTCCCACTTCTTCTTCTCACCGATCGGCTTTTCACCGACGTCGATGTCGCCTTCGCCCACGTCCCCTGCAATGATGCTGACGCCGGAGAGATTGAGTTGCCTTCAAATATTCACGACCCCGTCACGCCACCGAGATATCTCTCTTCCCTTCCCCCTTCGCCGACCACGTATTGGCGACCCGTCGCACCTCACCGGGATGAAATCGGCAATGCTAGCCTTCTATCAGATCCCAACATCGCGTTGCAATTGCAGTTGCAGTTGGATTGATTGGGATTGAATTGTGTTGGAGACACAACCCTTCCAGATCGCAAAACTGAATTTGAGTTGGGCATTTGTTTTGAAAATTAGAAAAGGTTCAAGGATCTAAATGCAATTTTCTAACGTTTAATTATATTTCAATTTAGCCCATATGCCAAACTTGCAAGTATTGAAAGTTAATAAAAAATAATATTTTTAATTTATACATATGTTGCATAATAAATAAAATATCAAATAAAATTAATATAAGATATTAAAAATAAGTAATATAAAATAAAATGATAAATAAAGTATAGAATAAATAAATAAATAATAATATTGCAACTATTTTGGTTAATTAGATGTACAATTAAATCTACAATTTTGTTTGTCTTTAGTTTTAGTTAGGGCAATTCATAAAAAAGTACGCATTGAGATTGCACAATTTTGTTAGACGACTTGCACATTAACGACTACCATATTGCACTATATCGAATGAACCCGACCAACCTAAGTGCTTGTGTCCGTATTTTATACTGTGGTTCAATTGTTTGTTTCTACTTTTAAAATTTGGGTTATTTCAGTTCAATGTTAGTTTATTTTTTAAAATAACTGAACCGATCGAACGTTGTAAAAATATATGGTTTCGTTATTTATTTGTTTTAGATCTTTACAATCAAAAGTAATATAAAATAATAGAAAAAAATTAAACTATTAAATGTATTTTTACAATAAAGTTTTAAATTATTCGATTATTTATGTTGGATCGGTTAACCGATCAAATAGCCAACTATTTCAGTCATTTTTAGTTTGATTTTTGAAAAAATCGTAAATAGCTCATGCACTTCGTGTGCACCATAGTGTTATACAAATTGCACAATCATGACTACCGAATTGCACCATAGTTCCCGAAACCGATCGAACTTAAAATTTTTGGTTAATTTAATAAACGGATCAAATAAACCAATTATTTTGGCCGGTTCAAATTACAAAATAACTACAGAAATCGCGCACAATATTGTTGGCCGAATTGCAATTTTTTTATTGTCGGATTGCACGACAACAACCGAAATAGACCAAAATGTTTTTTTTTTTTTGTTTGGATTTTCATATTTTGGTTTGATTATGCATTTTTTCTTTTAAAGTTTTGATTGTTTCTATACGATGTCGGCTTCATTTTTTAAAATAACCAAAATAACGGACCGACTAAATTATGCAAATATTATTATTATTGTTAATATTATTATTATCATTCTTATTATTATTAATTTGAATATTTCGGTTCTTTTTTGATTTGTAACAAAAGTTCAATCGATTTGGTTAACCTATTAACTGTATTAGTGTGCAATCTTGTTATAAGGTTGTGTAGTTTTAAATTGTTAATAATTACAAATTTAACACATGCACTCGATTGAAATATAATTAATTTCTTAATTTGCAAATAAGACCCTAGAATATATCTAATTTCTAATATCATGCCCTCAAATCTCATCTCCTCACACAACACGTACGCATGGTCACCTCTGCCTATGTAGATGACTGGCGGAAAACGTGTTGATGACCTTCGACGGCGGGTTGAAATTGGACACAAACATCAAATTGAGTATTGAAATCGGAATTAATTGGTGCTCCATTTTTTTTTTTTTTACTGAAAATCTCGATTCAATTTGCAGAGAGACGAGTGGTGAAGGATCACAAAATAGACGTGCTGGCGATTGTGATGGCAAAGCACAGGGGGACGCTGGTGACGACGACCGGAGGCGGATGAAATCGCGGGAAACTTGTTCACCGGCGGCACTGGGCTCTGCGACGGAGGTTGTGACGCTAAGGAGATGACGACGTCGACGATGTACTATAGCCATTCTCCCACCGAGGAGTACGTGTTCTGCCGAAAACCACCGCCAGGAGATTTGTGCGACGAGAGAGTGGAGTTCTGTCGTCGTCGATCGAGCGAGAGAGAGGAGAGAGAAAGGGGAGGGAGAGGGGAGAGAGAAGGTATTAATATTTTTGTGTGTGCGGCCTACTTCCATGTGTTGTAAATATGTATTGTCTAGATTGCCCTTAATTATTGGTCAAAGGGGTACATTTGACCACGAAATACATATTTAATTACGAATTTTCCATAACAAGTTTGACTATAATATTTAAATGTTGACCTGATCATAACCATTGATATGTACAATTCAATGGTACAAATTCATTCTAATTTTTTTTCACTATATACCATTCTCATATGATCCAAACTATATATATATAGCTCTTAAGGCATTATTAAATTTTTAACAACCAACTAACAACTAAGTTAAAAAAAAAAAAAATCATCCTGCAGCGCTCGGCGAAAAAAAAAAAACCCCTACCCCCAAACCTCCCGCAGATCTCTCAATTTCCAGTGGATCCGCCTTCCTCGGCGTCGGCGAAGAATGGCTAGGGGTCGTCCTTGACCGTCCGGCCCTCCTATGACGATGCGCTCCCTTGTTGCTGCTGTAGATGGGCGGCTAACAGAGGTGGTCCGTGGCTCGGCAGGGATTCAGGATGGCCGATGGCGCCCCTCAAGGTCGGTGTTTTGGCTGGCGACAGGAGTCGTCTTCCCCGTCACTGGTGGAGATCTGATTTTTGATGGTATGTCTCGCCTCTGTTCCCTTGTCTGCACTTGTTGGTTTCCGCTTTTGCAGCGGATTTCCACCTTTTCGGTGGAGCCTGGTCCCTTTGTTGTCGGCAGTCTGTGGTGGAGATGGTAGTGCGTGTGTCATTGGGTGGGGCGGAGCTCCGATTGCTGCGACGTCTCGGGTTGCGGTTAGTGGGGTTAAGGCCAAGGGATCGACTCTCTCCCTCCCCTGTTCCAGCTAGTTGTGTTAGGCGGCGGGGGATGGGGTTCTGGCGAGCTCGACTAGTGGTGTTAGGCGGGCTCGGGCGGAGCTGGTGTGGGGGTTGGTTGCTTCTCTCTCAGTTGAGGATGGGTCGATTCGGCGATTGGTTCTTTGCTCGGATTTGGCTATTGTATAGGCGCTGTGCAGTTTCGATAGTTGAATCTTGGGCTAGAATCTATCTTGTGTTGACCGTTCACTGCTAGTTGAACCTCTCCGGTTGCTGGGCAAAGGCTTGGTTTTTTATTTGTCTTTGTTGTTTTTGTTTTGTGTTGTTTGAGTCTGCTTTAGTCTTCGTCTGTTTGAGTCTGTGTTTGTGATTTTTTGGTCTTGTTTTTTAGGTTTGGGCCGTTAGCCCCTGTACTGATTCTTCTGTGGGGGGCATTTCTATTCTCCTGTGGGGAGCGTTCGTGGTTGGTGTGTTGGTGTTTTTTGTCGTGTGTAGTGTGTTTTCTATTCTAGCATAGCTAGCGAGGCTCTAGGCGGACTTTCGTTCCGTCCTCTCAATTTCTAGTTCCTGGTTGTAATAATCAGCCATGGGCTGCTTTTTTGCACAGTTGTGCGTTTTGATATATAATACCTCTATCGTTTCGAAAAATAAAAAACTAGAAACTTATTAATTTAATTAATTATTTTAACAACTAACTAATTTCTACTAACAACCAACTAATTTTCATTAATGAGCATTAACTTTAACAATCCCCCTTAATGCTCATTTTGATAATTCTAAGTTTTTTGCGTAGAGTCTCGAATCGTGGTCACGGTAAAGTCTTTGTGAAAATATCTGCAAGTTGATCTTCAGTGGTGGCATACTTGAGCTCTATCTGCTTGTCATTAGTTGCTTCACGTAGAAAGTGATATTTGATAGCAATGTGTTTGGTCCTCCCGTGATGTACTGGATTTTTCGCCATTGCTATTGCTGACTTGTTGTCGCAGTATATCTCTGCTGGACTTTCTTGGTGTTCACCCATGTATCCAAGAATACATCTGAGCCAATAGCTTGACTTGTCGTTAGTGTTGCTGCGACATACTCGACCTCTGTTGATGATTGCACCACACAATCTTGCATTTTCGATGACCACGAGAATATGCCTGAGCCAAATGAAAATATGTAGTCTGAGGTGCTTTTTATGTCGTCAGTTGATCCAGCCAGTCACTATATGTGTAGTCGATCAGTTATGAGTCTTTGTTCACATTGAATTTCGTAGTCTTTAGTACCTTGCAAATATCGCAATATTCTTTTCGCGGCTCCATAGTGAACTTGACTCGGACTTTGCATGAACCTTGATAGCATACTTGTTGCGTACATGATATCTGGTCTTGTGGCAGTTAGATATAGTAAGCTTTTAATCAGGCTTCGGTATGTGGATGCGTCTGCATTTGGTGTACCATCGTCTTTGTTGAATTTCTCATTCGCAACCATGGGAGTAGCCACGGGTTTACAGTCGTCCATCTTGAACTTCTTTAGTAGAATATCTGTATATTTCCTATGTGAGATAAATATTCCCTTTTCTTCTTGGGTTACCTAAATGCCGAGAAAATAGCTCATTTGCGCAAGGTCCGTCATCTCAAAAGTCTTCATCATATCTTCTTTGAGCTCTTTAATCATCTTCTCATTGTTTCTTGTATAAATAAGATTATCAACATAAAGAGAAACAATGAATTTATTGTCATTGCGTTGAGTCTTAATGTAGAGTGTTAGCTCAATTTCACTTCTTTTGAATCCATGACTGGTGAAGTAGTCATCAATTATGTTGTACCAAGCCCGTGGAGCTTGTTTCAATCCGTAAAGCGCCTTTTTCAGTTTTAAGACTTTATTTTCTTGTCCTTCTGCCACGAACCCTTGAGGTTGTTCGGCGTAAATCTCGTCTTCCAAGTAGCCATTGAGAAATGCTGACTTGACATCGAGTTGGTAGATTTTCTATTTCTTCTGAGCTGCAAGTGCGATTAGAGCCCTTATAGTATCTAGTGGAGCAACTGGAGCGAATGTCTCGTTGTAGTCGATCTTAGGTAGCTTTGAGTACCCTTTAGCGACCACCCGTGCTTTAAATTTTTGGATTGAGCCATCTGGGTTAAGCTTCGTCTTGTAGACCCACTTAACTCCAATGACTTCCTTGTTGTTTGGTAGATCAATCAACTCCCGAGTTTTATTCTTCTCGATCATTTTGATTTTTTCCTTCATGGATTTTACCCATTCCTTTTGCTTTACTGCTGCTTCAAAGCTTTAAGGTTCTATCGTGGAAAAATTACATGTCTCGTAGATCTCCCTGAATGTTCATACTTTTCTAGATGGTGATTCTACGGATGACTGTTCGTCAGTTGATGGTGATGATATCATTAAACTCGACGGTTGTGAAACTGGAGATATTTGTGTACCTTCTGCTTCATCTTCATGTTCTTCTGGTATGGTATTTTGCCTCCTCCGTGTAGGTACCATGATATTTTGGGATTCGACTTTTTCTTCCTCCCAGTTCCACGCAACATTTTCATCGAACTGGACATCTCGACTGATAATTAGTTTATCAGTCTTGAGGATGTAAATTCTACATCCTTTAGATTGAGACACATAGCCGAGGAATATGCCTTTCTCGAATTTCTCCTCAAGTTTGTGCCTCTTTTCTTTTGGGATGTGCACGTAGCAAATACTTCCAATGACTCGTAGATGTTGGGTTGACGGTTTTCGTCCACTCCAAGCTTCTATTGGAGTTTTATTTTTGGCTGCTTTAGTAGGGCACCTGTTGAGTAGATAGGCTGCATTGTATACAGATTCTGCCAAAAATTCTTTTGGCATGTTCTTATCTGCGAGCATTGTCCTGGCCATTTCTTGTACGATTCTGTTTTTCTTTTCTGACACGCCATTTTGCTTTGGAGCGTAGCCGACAGTTAGTTGATGGTTGACTCCTTCATCCTCGCAGAATTTGTTGAACTCCTTGGATGTATATTTTGTCCCTCGATCACTCTGAAGTACTTTAATTCTTCTTCCACTTTGATTTTCGACGAGGCTTTTGAATTTTTTGAAGATAGAGAAGACTTTGGACCTTTCTTTCATGAAGTACACCCAAGTCATTCTTGTGAAGTCATCGATAAAGAGGATGAAGTACATGTTCCTCTTGAATGTTGGCATCTTCATTGGTCCGCACATGTCTGTATGCACCAGCTCTAGTATTTGTTTGGCTCTTCTTGCTTGACTTGAAGGAAATGGTTTCCTATGTTGTTTTCCCTCCAGGCACTTTTAGCAGAGATTGTCGTTCAACTGGATGGCCGGTAGATTTTTCTCATATTTTTCTGATGGAGTAACTTTTGCCCGTTGAATTTGAAGTGCCCGAACCTTCGGTGCCATAGCCAAGATTGGTCTTCTTGAGCTTTTAGTGCTGCTTCTATGAATTTGCAACAGAGCGGAAAGTTTCTCCGTTGTTGCATTTTTAGTACAGCTATGGGATTGTTTTTGTTGTCATAAATGGTGCAAGAGTTGACTTTGAAGAGTGTGTATCCTCTTTCCACCATTTGTCCCACGCTGAGTAAACTAGTATCGAGTTTTGGTACTAGCAGCACATCTTCAACATGATGAGTACCTTTTTGAGTCTCGACCTCAACTGAACCTTAGCCTTCAACTTCTACTAGATTTCCATTGCCCAACCGAACTTGTAGGTGTTAAGACGACCATCATAAAGAACCTACCTGTCATAGAGCCATGGGCGTCCCAACAACAAGTGACAGGCGTCCATCAGCACCACGTCGCACCAAATCTGATCCTGGTAAGAGGCCCCAATAGAAAAAGAGACCAAGACACGACGGTTAACAGTCACCCCACTACCGCGGTTGATCCATGCCAAAGTGTAAGGTCGAGGATGCGGCTCAGTGGCCAACTGAAGCTTAGACACGGCCTCTTCTGCCAGAACATTCTCAAAAGATCCGGAATCAACAATAAATCGGCACACACGGTCACCAATAGTGCAAGTCGACTCAAAATGTTGGTGCCGCTGTCCAGAAGAGTCAGAGTCGATGAGAGGCGATAAGCACGAATGCCGAAGAACAAGACATGTACCGATGTCACCAGTATGAACCTCTACAGCCTCCAAAGGATCTGTGTCAAACACAGGTGGACCCTCGTATGTGAACTGGTCATCATGTTCCCCGCCACCTTCAACGAATAGCTGACGACCACTAATTGAACGAGGGCAAGCAGACTGCCGATGGCCCACCTCTCCACACGAAAAACAACGAGGACCACCACCCGGACGAGGACCGACCTGCGCACCTGCCACGTCGGAGGAACCCCTCGGAGCCGGATTGCCCACGCGGTTGCCTCCCGGACCGATTGCTGTTTTTCCCGGGCCGGTTGGCGTAGTGGTAAACCTGTTCGTCGAAGAGTAAGTCGAGGCGGCCCGTCGTGCCAATTGTTGTTCGCCCATGATAGCACGCTGATGAGCCTCAGAGAGAGTAAACGACATGAACATATTAACGAAATCCTGAAGTGGAAGACGAAGACCACTAATATACCGAGAAACCAATTGCATAGTGGTCTCCCGGCTATCAATGCGAGTAAGAAATTTGTAAAACTCTTCAGTGTAATCATCAACTGAACAGTTACCTTGACGAAGCGTTTGGAATTTTTGATACATAACACTATCATAATTGAAATTTACCCCAAGAAGTGATAGGAGATTTACCCAATCGATGTCGCTGTTGTTCGAGTTGAGTGCACCAGGCCGCAGCCCGACCACGCAATCGTGTCGCTGCCAGCCTGACCTTACGATTATCCGGCACCTTCTTGAATGTAAAATCCCTTTCCACCGCAGCGATCCAATCGAGAAAGTCGCCAGTGTCCAGGCCGCACGAGAACTCCGGCAAGTCGACGCGAAATCCCGCCTCCCAGCATGAGTCGATGACCTTCGCCTCGTGTCGCTGGCCGCGGAAACCGTCCCAGCCGTCGTCCTCCTGGTGCACGCCGTCTCTCTCGTCGCGTCGAAACCCGAAGGGATTGGTGTCCGACTGCGTGTCATCGCCGCTATCCTGACCGGGCGACGAAGGTGGTGATTGATGACGGCGCGCCGGCCAACCCCCTTCCTCCACGTCCGCCGCGAGCCCCGCCGCGACCCCCCCGGTTTGCTGGGTCGCGGTCCGCACCTTCCCGAGCCATCAACATTCGCACAGCCTCCCGAATTTCGTCGATACCTTCTGCGAGACCTTCAACCCTACGATCAACCCTATCAATTTGAAAGCCGAGATCATCATTCCGTCGATCCAAATCTTCCAAATGACCATCACGTCGGTCATTGTCTCGTTTTGGCGGCATCTTCGATCTGTCTAACTCTGGATACCAACTGACGCAGGAGAAACGTACGATGGGAATTTAAGAACTCACAAAGAGAACTCAAGAGATAATTTATATCATTCAACGTCTGCCTTACAATAAGAACTCATCCCCCTTTAAATAGACTTCCCAACCCTATTTTATTTAGTAATAGGTATCCTAAATAATAAATAAAAGGAAATAACTAAAAATAAATAAAAGTCTATAAATAATAGATAACTAGATACGAAGGCGATCAAACATGTCCAGATAAGCCAATGCGATCTCGTCACCATCAATTACTGTTTTGTTGTTAAACTAAAACAACGGTTTTTCAGATAAAGTCATGTTTTACGGTAGCACTCCGAATCAAGATTTCGCAAACTATTCAGTGATTTTTATTAAACGGTTTTGCAAAAATTAAACTCTGATATTTATGAAATAGCGGGGTGTTACAGATGGTATCAAAGCACGTTTCTGCGTCTCTAAAAAATTTTATGAGTCAGGAATTTTTCAAAAACCTGAACACGTCACGCTCACGCCTCGCCGACTACAGGTAAGTGTTGATCTATGTTTTTAAATTATAAACAAATTACTATGTCTATGCTAAGAAATTTTGTTTGTATGACTTAGTTAAGATGCTCGAATCATGTTTAGGATTCCTAGTTCAGTATATCCATGATTAATGTCAGTATTTTCCAGTCATGTTAAGTGACTTGTCAAGAGATTTGTAAGCACTTATGTTGTACAAATCTTAGCAATCATGTTCCTCAGACATTTTTCTATCAAAATTGTCCATTTTGCCAACCAGTTGGCACATTCCACGGAGGAATTTCTTGAGTTAAATCAGGGAATAGACTCAAATTTCCTAAAGTTAGGTCAGTAAATCATGTTCAAGGCTAAATTTTCATGCTAAAAGTTGTTATATTTCCTAAGCCATTGTCAAAAGTAACGGTTTCCAGTGTATAAGAGTCAATATTCTGGGTTACCATGGAGGCTTGAAATAAGAGCCACTCAGCCGGGTATACCATGGAGGCTTGAAGCTGGGACCGGAACAGTATAATTTCATGTAATAACAACCTTTAAAGTCAGTTATGTCAGGTATGTCATCAATGTGATATTCCAAGTTATGGTTTTCAATGCTCAAGATCAGTTAATTC